CTGCTGGATCAGTGAATGACGGTGGGTGGGTGGGTGCTGACGGCAGGGAAAAACCCAACTGGATTAGTTGGGTGCTTTAGGTGAAGAAGTGTGTTAAAACACACTTCATCAGCGCAAGAAGTGTGTTTGAGGAGTGTGTGTGCTTTGGGGGTCTAGTCGCTGCTCTGGGTTGTAGCGCAAGGGCGTTCTGCTCCCTGCACGGCGTCCAGAGGATGCGTTATATTGGTTGGTTGGCGTCCCATTTTGCGGCTTAAAAAGGTCAGCTCGTGGGTGAGTTGGCGGGGAAGTATGGAGCGGCGAAATGTTCTTCGCCTTTTTTGATTGTGACCTTGAGTCGTTTGTTGCCCGCGGGATAGCCAGTCATTTGGAGTACGGCTTGGACGGCACTGGGGATGGTGGCGTAGGAGACAAAGGCGTAGCCTTTGTTACGGTTGGTGAGATTATCTGTCGCAATTCGCGCACTTACGATGGGGCCGAAAGCGGAGAAGGCGTCGTAGAGGTCGTCATGCGTCCAGTCATTCGGGACATGGAACACGAAGATGTTCGAACCGGCAGGTCCCGAGGTAGTGTTATCTGTGGTCTGCATTTGCGCCTGCATCTGAGCTTGCGGTTGGGCCTGCATCTGGGCTTGCATTTGCGGCTGTGGCTGCAAGGGCGGCTGCAAAGGCCGCATGTCCAGCGGCAGGAACTCGAGCGGCCGGTCCCACTGCGTCTTGTTCGTCGCTTCATTGTGGTAATACGGGCGACCCGTGTTGTCAAAGTACTCCTTCCAGGCTCCGGAGCTCCGCGGATGCGCATTTGTTGCGTACCCGGCCCCAAAGGCGCCGCCGAGTCCAGCCATGTCGGTGGCGGCCATGCCCGCGAGGCCGCCGGGCGAGGCCACGAGCCCATTCTGGGCCAGGCCTCCGGCCAGGCCTCCGGCCAGGCCACTGGCCATGCCAGTGGCTAAGCCGGGGTTGGTAGGCATGCCGGCGGCGGCAGCAGCAGCAGCAGTAGGAATGCCCTGCAAAGCAGCAGCCGCGGCAGCAGCAGGAATGCCCTGCAGCGCGGCCGCTGCGGGCATATTTTGGAGGGCGCCTGCCGCAAGTCCTAGGCCGGGGGAGTTGATGGGCTGCTGTTGATTTCGCGGAGCGCTCGCATACATACCAAATGGGGCCATGCTGTTGGGCGGGGGGGAAGTCTTTTTGCTTTCTGCGAAGCGGACTTCGAGTGCGCGTGGCGCGTTGGGTAAAGGCTGGGTTCCGTTAAGTTTTTTGATGGCATAGTGAGCCTGTTCCTTGTAGGCTAGTTTAACGAATGCACATCCTCGACTTTGGTTGGTCATGGGATCTTTCATGATGAAGACTTCATCGACGGCGCCATATGGTTTGAAGAGTAGCCTTACTTCTTCCTCCGTAGCAGTGCGCGGTAATGAGCCTACAAATAGTTTGGCAGCGTTCACACCCGGTGCAGCCGCTTCAGGTGGCATGCCCAGCTTGTCCGACTCTCCACTGGCATAGCGTACTTGCAACGGTTCCGTCGAACCCTCCGGTGTCCACTGATTATTCAAGGCCCGGATCGCCGCATCCGCATGAGAAAGTGAGGACATACGCACAAATGCCGCCCCGCCGTGCGTGTTTGTGCCTCGGTCCTTGATTATCATGATGTCTGTCACCGTTCCGAACACACCGAACAATGGCCGTAACGAATTTTCGTCCATAGTCCTAGGCACTCGCCCCACAAACAACTTCACCTCCACCTGCGGAACCGGCCCCAACTCAGCCCCGTCCTCCCCTAGATTCACCTTCCGGGTCACTTCCTCCGGAGTCTCAGTGACCTGGAACAACAAATTAGTTTCAAACACACACGTGTGCACACACGTGTGCGCACACTCGCACTGAGGCCCAAAACCACCTTCAATCTATTCAACCTACCACACTAACCCGTGCTTCCTACTTGTGGTAAAAGTATCGCGTCTTGCGATATGTACGTAGGTGGCCCAGCCTGTTGGTCCATAAAACCCTAATTTAAAAAAGCGATCACCTGAGTGCTTGCCTGCTCATACAAAACCGCAGAACTACCCTCTCCACCAATAACGTGCTCTCGGTCAACCCACAACGTCGACCGGATGACGCGGCCCGAACCAAATGAATGAAAAACACGGACGATTATATCACGGTCTAATTTCCCGTCTATGCGAACATGCTGGTGCAACGCACAATACCAAAAGTCATCCATAACCCTCTAAAAGAATACCGCAAGTAACGGGATGGATGCAGACGGATGGGGAGGCCTTACCAGTTTGACGTCTGCAGTGACGTCCCCTGTGTCGCTCAAGTCGTCGTTGTATAGCATAACGCTCGCGTAGTGCAAGATGGGGTGACTTGTATCTCGCAATTGGTCCCACGGCAGCATGTCTTGCTCGCTCTCAGTAACAGTAATACCAGCTTCCCCGGTCGGGTTGTTCCTGGTCGGGATGTTCCCGGTCGGGTTATTCCCGGTCGGGTCATCCCCGGTCGAGACATTCCCGGCTGGGGCATTCTCAGTGACGGTGACCCCACCCGGGACAACCCTTGCCTCGGTATTGCGTCCAGAGGGAGTAGGTAAGGTGCTGGCGAAGCCTTTGAACGCCACGAGCATTTCGGTCGGGAGCAGGTCCATGACAAGAGGTTCCATGGCAATCGGTAGAAGTTGGAGGGGGCCGCGGCTTACATACCCCTTGAAACAGGATGTGTGGGTCCAGTCCATGGTGGCGTCTACGGTCTTGACTTGTTCTTGTTCAATCGTCGCGGCGTTTGCTCTCCCGCCACTCCGTCTGGAATGGCAATGTCTCAATGGGCCACGGCGTACCCTGCCGGTGGCATGCACACGTATTGTGTAGAGGACCA